GGTTCGTGCCTGTTCTAATATTGTAACATTATCAAGTCATGCATATTTATGTATGGAATCTGCTCGCGTATATTGTTCCTATCTATACACGATTAGTCCGTATGCGTACTGGTAATGTATATTATCGAACAAGCTAATAAGTTAGGTCACTACGAAGTTTACGTAAATATTTGCCTACTAGTCTTGTATAGATTGAAAGAACTTAGTAAAAAAGTGGTATATAATCTATACGCGACTAGTTTCATACTACTGCATTCTGTACACAATGGAAAGACGCGACAGCGTTGCTACCGATGTAGAGTTCGGCGCTGTTATTATAACATAATAGTACTATTGGTAGAGCAGACGGTAGTCACATGTAGACTGGTTGATGACGTCTTCGTTAAAATTTCCGTGTGCAGCAACCTTTTTCTTACTACACACAGATATTGTGTACTTTCTTATGTATTTTTTCCACTTGTGTCAATACAACTACGTTTGGTAACTGAATGTAAACAATTTTATAGTAATTTTATATCAAATTAGCCTTACCATTCGTCAACATCCATGTGGATTATTATTATTATATAAAAAAGTTATAGATGAGAGATTCGCGTCTTTTTTCAATGATGTGATATGGAAATTGTGGGGCCCTGAATTGCTTAATTGCCATTTTCTCAAGATACTGTTATGTAGAGTATTATTAATTTTCATTGAGTTCGGTTAATATGTTTTAGAAATATGGATATGTAAATATCATTTAATGTTGGATAGCTTTTTATATACTTTTACTTCAAGCTTTATTACCGGGAAGTTGAGTAGATGGCCCACGGTTCAACAAGGGTTTACTGCAATATATATTAAAATCTTTACTGTAAAACAAGTATCGTCTATTAAAAAAAAACAAATTTCACTCCTGCTCCCCTCTTCATACATGCGATTGCTATGACAGCACAATCTTAAAAGCATGGTCGCATGTTAACAGTAGACAATTATAGTATTCGCAAAAAACAGAAGAGCAACTACTTTGTATCTTTATTAGTACTGATACACGCAGTGGCGGACTAGGGGGGGGGGAGGCTTCCCCCCCGGGCCTCTTATCCTGGGGGGCCTCCAAATGGCTGAAAGTTCCCTTGATCAAATCATAAATATCTTTCTTAGTTTCGTAGTTTTAGCAGGCGTCTTAGCAGGGGAGGCGGTGTAAACACAAAATCAAGAATCTGCACCAGTTGTAAAAAGTTGTAGGTACGGACCTAATGCCGCCCCGGGCCCCCGACAGGGTTAGTCCGCCACTGGATACATGTGATTTGTTATGGAACAAGGATGATAGAATTTTTATTTCGCCTACATACCTTCTACATAAGTTTTATGTTACATTACGTCATGATAAATGTTCAACAAATTTGTTTTCGCTTTCGTATTATTTTTATTTTGTAGTATACAGTTTTACAATATAAATAAACAGTACTTTCACCGTAGACTAAATTAACACATGGAAATATCAAATATTTAACCAGATTTTCTAAACAGTGTTGAAGATACGATACCAGCTTTTGAAATTGATGAATTAGACAATGACCTTCAATCAAAATGTATTTAATAAAATGCATGGGAGTAAATGCAATTTAGTCATTGTAAGAAGCCACAATTGCTATCTATGATTTAAACTAAATATGTAATAAAACCTAACACGTAAAATTTTCAAACAAATGTGAGTTGAATACAGTTATTATTCGTGAACTGTTAATAATTATGCGTATATAAATAATGAATTCCATATCAAACTACAAGATACATTGAAACTTGTCTGTTTAAGTTGTCATTTGGAGAAAAACGTGACACAATTATATATTGCAGAGGAAAAGAGCTGCGTAATTATTGACCAGCAATGTAACAATGTCAAGCTACCCATATTTCCAACGCCTCAACAACACCACCATAAAAATAATTAAAAACAAAACTATAATATTACTCTATTTAATGTAAAATAAATTAAATAACCTTTTTCATTCTCCATATGATAATAATAAAAATATGTTATAATAAGGCGTATAAAAAAATGTGTAACCATATGGCTAAAATACAAAAGGTTAGGCTTTTTTATCAAAATAATCTGTCTGTGATGGTTTTTCCGAGTATATTCGGGAGCATCACTATACCTAAGTTAGATATAGTGCATAACTATGAACTATATCTAACTTCGAAACAGAATTTTGCTGGCTTTTTGCTAATCATTTTTTTTAGACAAAAACAAGGTAATATCCTTTTATCCGAATGCAAAATTCAATTGAGGATGTGAATTAATATTTTTTTAAATATTAACAATAAAAACTAGTAACTAAATTAATAAGCTAATATTAAAATGCGTGCTAAAATAGTACAAAAATCTGGCACGTGTTTACGTACCGTTCGACTGTAGGTCATTATCATAAGGGCAGTTACCAAATTACAATGTAGTATTATTTTCATATAAAACTACAACATTTATATTTTTATGTATTTATTTTAGTGAACTACATATACATAGATTATATTCACAATCAATTTTTTGTTCAATGCAATGCAAACAGCATGTCAGGTTATACGAAACTGTCAATTTTTCTCCACTTACTTTAACCTTAGTGCAATAAAACTAGAGTTCAAAATCAACATTTTTTGATAAACAGATATGCTGCTGTATTAAAGGAATAATAAATTATTTTATCATGAAATTATCATAAATCAATAATAGTACTTTCAAAAGTTTATGTGTATGAAATTAAATTATATATAGTATAATATAATACACTCTGTTTATTTCTTTGAAGTTTCTTTTTTATTTACTTGTATAAATCAATAATCATATTATTGGACAAGTAAATTACACTTAATTAAATTAGTCATAGGCCGCAAACAAACTAGGAACACGAACAATTTTTCAGGTAAAAGTTAATTTTATTTATTCGCGAAAGTGTAACTAAGCGACGAGCTGTCACAGTATATATACTGGCCGTGACTGAAACAAAAATTAAATCATGCAGTCTGACTATGAGAAAAACAGAGACAAATAATGAATATATGCATCAGAATAAAAAGGTGATAAGCGCCAAAATGTTTTTTATTTAATTACTTGCAAACTATATTGTAATTATTACAAAATGTAAGCTATTTATTATTATAGTTACTCATTATCAGTGGGCGCGCCCTCTTAAGTAATACGCCCCTGCTAACACGAAGGCTTTATGAAAAAAGAAGACATATTACACAAGGCAAAGATTCATTTTCACTTCATTAATTAACAATAATTTAGGTACCGCTGCAATTCATGGTTTTAGCAAGGTTAGATAAAATATAATTGAATTTCACTTAGGTTCATTATTCGTTAAGCTATATTAAGCAAAACAAATGGATTTACTATGATAAGTTTCCATTACAGTTATGAATTTTTGTTGACATTTAATATACAATACCGAACATGTGTTAAGTATTGTGAATCTTCTAACCAATTCCGATAATATCTGAATCTTCGATAAAAATTATAAGTAGTTTAATTTTATCGGTTTGATTGAACCTTTATTACATTTTGAAGTAGCGCTATTCTCGACGTTTAAGTCGAATTCAATGCTGCTTTTGAATAGCGACTGATCATATGAGGTTTAGTATTTTTGTTTTTATGAAATACGGAACTTAAGATAACATTTTTGGTTTTCATTGGCGATTACCAATTACAGCATGTTTAAAACAAAAAAGAAATTGGGCCTAAAATGGATTACTGTTAGCTTATCCTTAAATGCTGTATCATCTTTGCTGTGCGCAATTAAGCTTCGATATTTTACGGTTCGAGAATTTTATTCCCCTAATCCGATTGCGCTTACTCTGAGAAAATTACTAACTAATAACCAGAGGTCGGAATTAGGTAGAGTTATTTATGTACTTGCATCGAAATGTTGATATTAATGTGGACCTTCCCGGGATTTAGATAGTTTGAATGCGGTAGAAAGAGATAATCTAGTACATTACGTTAAGTGGGGAGTGCTCCGCATTTTCGCTATTGTATTCTTTTGTTCTCACAAGCTATGTTGTGCGAACTACAAATGTAAGTGGCAACATCGCGCGTATTGGTATTTTGCAACTTTGGACATCCGATGTCATTGATGTAAGTTTGGCAACGTCGTGCGTGCAGTAGTTTAAATTATGTAAAAGTAAATAACTTTTTATTTAAAAAATCACGGGATTTTTTCTGCTCTTTAAAATTAATCTCGGGATTTGAGACATATCCACTTTATTCTTTCGCTGTATGAAATCAGTGTAAGTACATGAATAACTCTACCTTATTCCGACCACTGCTAATAACTAATATTTTTTTATACGAAAATTAGTAAAACAATTACATTAAAGGAAAACCTTTAAGTTGATGGTTTTAAAAAATTTGGTTATGTATTTGGACGGAACCCTCAGTGTTCGCGTTTTAATTTTTTAATTATTCACGTACCAATTTCTGGTATTCTAACTAAAATATCAATTGGTAACATTGAGTAATAAAGATATGATACTTAAAAATCTATTAAATACCATCTAAGATTTTTTTCTAAACTTTATATTTACTAAAGTATGGCCATCCTGCGAAACTTGCAAAGATACCTTACACTTTTCCTCTTATTTTGATTAAATATTGACCATTCAATTGATGTTTTCTATAGACGCAACATTCGCGCGCCTACTAACCTGCGTCTGCGCATGTCGCGCAGTCAAACGCGCGCGTTACAAAAGCCGCTCGTGTTTTGTGAATTACGTGCTGTTTATACGAAATATTTATCGTAACTTAATGAATTGAAAAGACAGTGTTTAAATTTTAAATTTTTATTGAAGTTTGGTGCTGTTTGTATTTCGAAAAAGTCAAAACATTGACATACATTCTTTCAATATCGCATTTTACGTAAAAGTCATAGAATTTTTAAGTTATTGTTTAAATTAAAATCATTTGGTTTAACTTTTATTTACTTTTGAACTGGTTTTGTGAAGTTTTTATAGAAAGCAGTCACCATGAAGATTAATTAATTAGAGACTGGGACTTTCTTTAATACATATAAAATTTCGTCAATGAACATATGTAACTAAACTCACAAAATAATAAAAAAAATATTTGACGCATCCTACAGTCAGAATATCAATTATTTTTATGTAATATTAAAGTGATTGTAACATGACATTTTTTAACAACAATAACAAGTAAAACCCACTTTAAGTCATAATTAAATCGGCATTTAATTATAACAAAATTTAATTGAAAAGCAATATCACAAGTGTCAAAAATGGAGAGAAAAGAAGAGCATACGTTTCAAGGTAGCGCCGGCGTCGACACGGATCGTCTGATGAAGGAACTGGGTCAAGTCGGAAGGTTCCACCTGATCAACTACTTCCTGTTGTCGCTGCCAGTATTCTTGGCTGCCGTTTACGGCATCAATTACGTATTCTTAGCCGCCGATGTGCCTTACAGGTATTCATAATTAAAAGTTGTTAATAATTAAAACCATGCTATAGAAAATTATGTTTAATTCATCAATTTTTCATTCACAATGCTATACTGATAATTATTCTTACTTGGATACTTGAACCCATGACCTGTCGCAATCCGGGCAACTGTTCGGAAGGTCGTGGGTTCGAGTCCCATGTCAGAGTTCGAAAGACCAAGTAGGTTATTTAAACATATTTCATTAAGAATTTTGTTTACATAATATTATTATGAATGTATTAACCTACATTTCAACTAGCTTAATATTACTAGCTGTTTATCCGCGACTTCGCCCGTGTAAATTGTAATTTGTCAAATCAAATGTATTTATTTGATACGCATTTCATAGGACACTTACGGACGATTAATTAAAAATTAAATATAAAAAGATAAAATTATAAAAAGGCAGCAATCATAAGAAAATATATGCGTGTCCCACAATCGAACCAAAAAGGTATCTAGCTAAGCATTTCTTTGTCTTCCTATAAAGTAAAAATAGACCGATGCTGATTTTCAACTAGACCTAGTTCGACTCTGTATCTTTTGTGTTGAACGGGATCTCTGTCATCGTATGTCACCCGCGTATGATGTAGCTTCTCGTACGTGAAAGAAATGATTGGATCACTATTCCTGATGATTACATTACCTCTTTGTAATATTAGTATAGATCTCCAAAACCTCTGAACCGACTTTAATAAAACTTGTGCTGTTCTCTAAATTTCAACTAAACAAATCAAACAAACAAAAAAGAATCATGGCCATTCGATGTGTAACTGTAATTAATTGTAATAATCGCATCTCGATAGAATTTCAACTACTTACATTTTTCCATTGTACAATATACCTGAAGTGTTGTATTTGGGCCTATGTCTTCTTCATAAACCAACGGTAATAGATATATAAAAATATTGGACTTCAGGTACATAATACAATAGCATAAAGCACTTTAGTAACGCAAGTAGTTGGGATTCTATTGAGATGCAATTATTACAATAAAATTAACACAATACAAACAAACATAAAAACATTTATAAAATTCAGCACAATTTAGACGCCGATGTATGAAGAGTGTGCTATTCCAACGTCATCACATACATACAGGTGAAATATAAAGTACATGAAAGTTGTATTTATTATTGTGATAATACATATTATTTTGGTAATGACATGATTTATGTAAATGTCGTCACTTATGATAAAGAGCTGGTAAGTTTCTTTCGCTTGTTCTTCTTGTCAGCTAAAAGACGTCCTGAACAAGTGGTAGGGGAAAAAATATTTTTGGACAATTCAATAGTTTAATAAGCCTACTTGAATTAAGATATTTTCATTTCATTTCATCAATCGAATATTTCCCCTTGGGAACAAAGCTGGTTGACACGACTTCATATTTCCAGATATCATACCGGCTATATTCTAAGTAGCGGCTGGTACAATCGGAGATTTAAGTATGGTTATATACAATTTCCTCCCACGCATTTGCTCGTACTAAAGCAGCAATTAGATCTAGCGTTGACCAGTTCTGGTGTTCCAGATACAGATGGAACTTTATTGCCCTCAGCAGTGTTATCCTGCTATAAAAACAGCCCCTAATTCGTCGTCGAGCGCAGCGCTGTATGTATCATACATAACATAGAGATTCAATTAAATATAACCTACTTTATACGATAAACTATCAAGGTTGGATGAAAAATGGTCTCATCATTTAGAATGGCATACTCATTGTACAAGTGGCAAATTATTAACAAAATCATTTATATCTATTAACCATTCAATAGTATAATTTTAAGTGATTTATTGAATACCAGTGTAACGGGTTCGATGCTTGGGCCCATTAATGAAAGGCTGACTAGCTTGAGAATAGATTTATTTATGGTATAAAGGATAAAGTAAAGAAACTGCAACAAACAAAAAATGAATATATAAACAGTTCGTATGTTAAACTAAATATACAATTTAAAATTACCAAATAAAACGAATACATACCCCTTATTGGGTTTCTTGATAAAAACTTGGATCGTCCAAGTTTCAGGATATAATTTATTTAATTTAATTTATAATTTTATTTTAGACACTTATCTTCATAATTATGATATTAATATTTTTAAATTTATATGATTTATATATTCACAACAGAAGAATTTTTTACGAACTAACATTCATAAAGAGCATATTTGATTAGGCAAAATTTCAAATTACGAAAGGTGAATAAGAAAAAGAAATGATGTTGAACATCAAAGACAAAAGTTTGCATGTTGAAACCTAGGAAAATAAACGGTGGCATAGCACACCGTTACACTAGCTTTCCGCCGGCGGCTCCGCCCGCGTGATCTCTAGGGAACTGTTTATTTGGATATCGAGTCATATCATGACATGGGTATAATTACAACAACAAACAGTAAACACTTAGATTGTATTATATAATCTAAGAGTAAACAGTTGTTACTATGGTGACGCTTTAATTCCCTATATAAACTTCTACTCCCATTTTCATATCTTTATTTGTTGTTATTCGGGATAAAAAAGAGTCTAAGTCTACCATATAAGATGTAAGTTTCCGTAAGTGATAGTACTTTTAAAATCATCCCAATAGTTTCGGAGCCTATTCGATGCAAATAACCAAATCTCTCTCCTTTATAATATTAGTATACATGGATTATAATTTAAAGTTGTCTGATATTTCTTTTGTTTCTTCTGAAAGTTCATTAAAATACTTCTTTTCCTTTTAAGCGATAAAATAAAACTTAATTAAAATAAACGATATAAAACATATATCATGGTTCCCGGTTGATAGCTGTTGTTATCGTCAGAAGTGTATGGTACTGTAGAAATAAGTTTAACGATAAATTAGCCAGAGAAATCTTTTAAAAATAAATAGACGGACAAATCAAAAGTAACTACAAGAGCAATAATAATAAAAAAACCGGCCACGTGCAAGTCTGACTCGCGCACGACGGGTTCTGTACCAATCCATTCTAAAAATTAAAAAAAAAATTACGACTGCTAATTTTCTATGGAGTTGTTCTAAATTTTCGAGTTAAATACAATTGGTTGACTATTAGTCGTAAACTTGTAAGGTCAACTGAAGTGCGATAGTTTCCCCTTTAACTTCCTTACACGAGTATATAGGTACTACTGCCGTAAAGTTTGAATTTTTACCAACGATCATTTAGTTGGCAGAGTGGACACTTGACTCTTATGAAAATTAGCTCTTTAAAGCTTAACAAGTCATAAAAGGCATACTTAATCTAAAAGCGGCTTTACAGACCAACAAATGAATTTTAAAAGAACTATCCAACGATACCCCATACTATGGAAAAGACAAAAAAAATATAAGGCGAAACTATAAGGGTTCCTTGTGTGCTACGGAACCCTAAAAAGTAAGAAAAGTCAAAAACAAATGAAAAAAATCAAAATAGCCCTCTTAAAATGGCCGGTAATATTAACTAAAAAGACACCCATTCTCCCAATTCGAATCGATTCCATCCATACGGAAGGTCTGTGTATAACATAAACTAATTTAAACGAAAATAATTAATGACTCACACAGTACTCGAAGCTGACAATGATATTATTTACATACATACAAAAATTAAGGAAATCAAGCATATTGATTGTAAAGTTAAGAATAAAACTTCAAATATACTGCAATCAAAAATTAGAAATGTCTTTTATCTTTTATAATATTATCTATTTTTTATGTATTTCTTAGTGATATTTTTCATTTAGAATATTTTTCAGTGTAGCATTGTGAATGTAAAACTGATCAAATATAATATGCACATGTGTTTTCTTAGTAATCTTCTTATGAAAAGAAAGTTTTCGTCTCACATCACACCTTTCTCTACCTCAAATGTCACGCCAGCAAATGAAGAGCAAGCACCATGTGACGTAATTATACAAACGAATAATGCGAGCTTATTTTATGATTATATAACACAAGAACGCTGTATGTCATAAATATGATCATAAAAAAAGTTGGAGTTAAAAATTCCACCAAAATATTTGTTGTAACATGATGCCATACAATATCATACGGCTCGAGCCGTCAAAAAGTTTTCACGTCTCATGTAGCGTCAAACATTTTTCTCTGCATGCCCTAACACTATAAACCTTCACTTTACAAACTCTATACATTAGTAAAAAGGATGTGTAATATATGGCATAATAACAAAATATATAAAATTTACAATCTATACCTTCGAATAACCTAATTTTGTTTAATATATCGATTATTTCATATAAAAAAGTGAAAAAATATTTTTCAAACACTTAATTGGTTATAAAGATTTCGAACCTAATCTAATCGAGTTCGATCTATCTTAAAAAGTCGAAAATTATTATATTATATTATGTTGGAATTATTTATTCTTACCGTTTTAATTATAACTTATAATAAAATAACGATTAAGTATATAAATTAATCGATATGACAAAAGGATATCGATTAATTTATATATCAATTATTTGTTATATTAAGTGTAATTTATTATTGAAGACACGCACACAGTTGGTGGATAATAATTTAATTAAAAGAGATAAAAAGGAATAAATAGTAAAAATACAAATTCATAGAGTATATAAAAAGCTATTTACACAAGCCGATGGCTAGTGTCTATCATCCACAGTTATAATATTTGAACTTTATGAGTAGATACTAGCGTCCGACCGAAGGTCTATTTTTGGCCGAAGCCGAAGCCGATTAATCGGCAATCGCCACAACCTTCGGCAAAAGCCGAAGCCGAAGCCGATGGTTTATAATTTCTCAGTAATTAATTTTGTTCAATATTGTCTACAAGCTACAATTAATATTAAAATTATTTCAAAACTTCAATATTGAAGGTTATATTGACTGTCTCATATAGAAGTTGATTTAGAAATACAGGTTTGACAGTGAAGGCGCTTGTGCACTACACTGAATTTTCATGTCCGGCGGTCCGATTTTTTCCGGCCTGATATGTCAGGCCATATGTAGGTAATGCTAGCTT